AAAGTGGAAGGGGAAGGAGGAGGAGGAGGAGGAGGGGGAGAAGAAGGGGGAAGTGGAGAGGAAGAGGGGGAAGACAGAGGAGGGGAAGATGGACAAGAAGGGGGAGGGGGAGGCGGAGGAGGATGAGAAGATGGAAAAGAGGAAGGTAGAGGAGGAGGGGGAGGGGGAAAAGGAGAAGCGAAGGAAAGGGGAGGAGAAGGTGGAAGAGGATGATGCACGGACCAGCGAAGCATACGTCGAAACCATTGTGTAAGACGAATGGGCCGGCCAGGCAAGTGGTCCCGGGCCACTCTGCTATCTTCTGCTCTGCACGTTTATGATGAACCATAAGTATTAAGTTCCATAACACCCCCCCCCCCCCAAAAAAAAAAAAAAAGCCACTACCCAACAAAAAAAAAAAAACACTTCTCACCTGTTGTCCCAATTTGATGTTTCGTCCACTTGTCCGTCCATGTGTTTGCAGCATTGCCATCACCAGCTTGCGGTCAGTGTTCGCCACTTTCGTACTGTTTGGTGGAATGTATTGGCACGCAGGGTCGTCAAGAGGACCTCCAAAAAAGCTGCACGTAAATGCAAAAAGAGTGTTGATGATATGATCATGAACCTGGCCGCCGAATGCCAGACCAAGACATGGGATCCCCGGAACACTATAGCGTGTGCGCTTCAAGGCAGTCATCAGGTTGTCTGACCGTTCTTTATCATCATGTCCCAAGGAGTACCAGATCTTCGAATCGATCTGCTTGTCGGAAAAATATTCGGGAACTGCAGAGCCGACAAAAAGTATAAAAAAAAAACGAAAGGTCATCAACGAGAGTCGTATTGCAAAAAGATTTCACAGCACATACAAAACTTCCCTCACACGACGTGATACCAGATTACCATCTTACCACGGTCTATTATGCTCTTTATAGGTTTCTCTTTTTCTTCTTTTCTTCTTATCTTCGTCATTTTTTAGGCTTTTTCCGGTCTACTCGGTTTTGCATGTCTTGGTACAGCAATTGGTCTTATTTGCATTTACTCGTGTGTGGTTTCTCCATTTAGGTGCGAACGTACCGACATGCTGGTTGAAAATGAGTATCATGATCCATCATGATTGATTTTGTCAAACCTGAAATCTCAACCCCTTGTCTATTATCTTCCTGCTCTCTCTCTCTCTCTCTCTCTCTCTTGCCACTTGATAGGAGAGGCGGTTAACGGAGGCCTCAATTTTCAGACAATTTATCATGCCATTTATGAAAAAAAACAAGGGTCATTTTAACCAAACTTGCCACCAATTCATAGAGTGGAGATCATACTAACTACTTGCAAAAAAAAAA